ATTAACCTCCCAACCCCGAGCACCATGCATCTGCACAAGGCCTTTGGGGAATGTTATCAGCAGTGCGCGTGTCTTCTCATTTCAGGCCTGTTTCTGTGGACCGGCCAATGGTTACACTGGTGTTTCAAATTCTCCATCAGAGCTGTAAAGACTTGCTATTTGGAATTTGGGAGCACCTGTGCTCTTTAGGGATTTCAAGGCCTTAGAAAACAAACCAGCAGAAACTGTTAGGATTCTAATGCTTCATAAAGCCATTAATAGCAACAACAAGAGACGAATATTTCAGAGTGTTGTGCCCTGTGTGGCTTCAGAGTGGACCTAACTGGGGCAACAAGGGAATGAAGAAAAGTCAGACACACAGACAGCTGGGATCAGATGGACTGTGCTTTCTCTGACGGAGGAGCCTCAGTCTTTTTATTTTATACATCTAAATCTAGGATTAGCTTATTGCATACAACAGAACACGGAGGCAGCTTTAGCTAATCTTGTTGGGAGGTCTCTGTAGGGGAGCAGTCTCAAGATTCTTCTTGGAGGAAGAAGCCATGGCTGTCACCTTCTGCAAACACTGTCAGTTGTTCACAGGCACTCATGTTTAGAGTAGAGGGAGTCTTTTGCATTTCTCTGAGCCTCTCCCTGGGAAGGCTTTGCCACTCCCATGGGTCTGAGGCATTAGGATGTTTGACATGGCTGTGCTTATGTCAACAACACACAACTCACTCATGACTTCATCCTCTCCCCATACCTCGGGCTTTCTCTGCTTTCCACACCAGAGCAAGAGAAAATTATCAAGCAAGGAAAGACTTGGTACAGAGAAAAGTTGTGTGTGTGTGTGTGTGTGTGTGTGTGTGTGTGTTTTAGGGTCTCACCAGATAGCCTGGCCTTTGACTTGCAGTCCAGCCTGGCTTTGGAGTTGCAGTGGTCTTTCTGCCTCTGTCTGGTGAGTTCTGGGAATACAGACCGGCACCACAAAACCTATTGAAAAGTTAAATTTTGATACGTCAAATATTGTGCTCAAATATAGAAGACAAACAACAATATTTAGAATATGTTTCCAACAGGGCTGGAGAGATGGCTCAGAGTTTAAGAGCATGGGCTGCTCTTTCACAGGAGCCGGGTTCAATTCCCAGCACCCACATAGTGGCTCACAACTGTCTGTAAAATTGGATCAGACTCCATCACACAGACATACATGTAGGCCAAACACCAAATGAACAGAAAGATTAAGTAAACAAACAAACAAACAAACAAATAAAAGCAGACATAGCCAGTGCTGGCACATGCTTAAAAAAAAAAGACTATGTTTCTAACAAAATGACAAGAGACTAAAATAAAAACAGTTATGTATTTTTAAACATTTGTAAATAATAATGTGGTCTCTCCCTCCGCCCCTGCACTTGGCACCAGTACTTTGTCTGTTTGGGCTGCTCTTATTAGGTCTCTGGCCTAGAACGGTCAACTCTTGCCCCTGCCCCTGTCCCACTCACTATCTGTCAGGGGAAAAGAGCTTCTAATGTCTGTAAACAAGACCACACCATTGCTCTGTATGAACTTCTGCGTCTAGAACAAAACCCAGTTTTTATATACCAGGTTGTGCCATCTGATACTGGTTACATTTCTGATCTGGTTTACACTGCCCAGAAGGCAGGGTCTATCCGGGGAGTTAAAACCCCACGTGGAAAATAGTGCCTGACACTGAGAAAACACTCACTTTTGGTTGAGTTGATTAATGAGTGAGGGCTGGGGAGATGGTGTAGTGGGTAAGATGTTTGCTCTACAAGCAGGAGGACCTGAGTTCAAATCCCTAGCACCCATGGAAAACTCCTGTAACCCTCGCATATCAACAAGTGTATCCCAGTCTGGCCAAACAGTGAGCTTCACGCTCAGCAAAAACCCTGTCTCAAGGATATAAGGCAGAAAGCAAGAGGAAGACATTTGATTTCTTACTTTGGCCTCTGCAAACCCTTGCACTGGGGATTGCACTTGCGCGCGCGCACACACACACACACACACACACACACACACTCCTTAAACATGTAAAAATATTAAACAATGAATAATAAATGAATGGATGACTGAGGAAATGAAATATTTAGCAATGCTGCTAAGGAAACATGTCAGTCACCCACAGCTATGCAAGGGTCTTCTCATATATTGTTTTAAGAGTTCAAATCAGAACTGTCGTGGCGGAACCTCTCTGCAATCCCAGCATTTGGAAGTGGAGGTGGAACAGGCACAAGTTCAAGGCCAGCTTCAGCTACATAAAAAATTCTAGGTCTACTTGGGTTTATCTAAAAAAAAAAAAATTTAAAAAATTAATTTAAAAAATGTTTAAATGTAGACAGTAATTTTGGGAAGCAGCTAGAAAATGATATTGTACAACATATGAAAGTGATATCTTTTCAATACTCAAAATACAGAATAAGACATGCTGACGGTCGGAGTGAGCAGGCTTTATTACAGATCATTAATCATAGTAAGAAACAGAACAGTGGACATGCCCATTGGTTAAGTAACAGGACAAACATTTTAGTAGGGAGAGGTCTAATAAACTCTCATTTACTCACATGGTAGAATGTTCTTAGGCGCTGAAATGTTTTGAAAGCACATTGTTATTCCTAGGGACAAGTGCATGGCATAAGAGCTAATCCAAATGCAACAGTAAAATCCAAATTTCTGTTATCAAAAAATGTTTAAGTAGACATCCGTAACAATGTGAAGTAAATCCTTATGGTGGTAGTTACAGGGAAAATTCTGACTCATAGAGCCATAGTGTTTTAACTTTCTTCTTTATGATTCCAAAAATATCGAGTTATGTTAAAGTAAACAAATACACAAATTTATATTAAAATCATCATAATTTATACAGAAATCACTGATCAGTTCATGCCAGTGGTCATCAGCGATTCTATTACCTTACAAAACAATGTCAGATATTCACCGTGAAAGATCTAAGTTCACTCTTTGGCTCAGGAGTGTGTGAAAAATGAATTTCCCTTATTTCTCGAGTCATGCTATTTTACTCTCCCCTTTCTCATGTCATTTGTTTGTTTCAGTCCTATCTAAAGATATAGTTTTACTTTTTAAAAATTATACATAAATGAGTGTGTCTGAATGCAGGTTCCCAAGGAGCCAGTCAGATCCCGTGGACCTGGAGTTTCAGGTATTGTGAGCCACAGAATATGGGTGTTGGGAAAAGATGCTTCACCATACAACAAGGACATTTGCTCATCTATGTTCATAGCGGCTTTATTCATAATAGCCAGAAACTGGAAACAATCTGGATGTCCCTCAATTAAAGAATGGATACAGAAATTGTGGTACATTTATACAATGGAATACTACTCAGCTATTAAAAACAAAGAAATCATGAAATTTGAAGGCAAATGGATGGAACTAGAAAATAAGAAAGATCATCCTGAGTGAGGTAACCCCAACCCATAAAGACATGCATGGTATGTACTCACAAGTAGATATTAGAACAACAGTATAGGACAAACATACCCAATCCACAGACCCAAAGAAGCCAAGTAACAAGGAGGGCCCAAGGGAGAATGCCTGAATGTCACTCAGAGGGGGAAATAGAATAGACAGCAGAATTGGATGAAGAGAGGGAAGTGGGCAGGAGAAGGAATGGGGAGGGAAACAAGAGTAAGGATCAGATGTGGGAGGTGAGGGGAAAATAAAGGGAAACTGGGGAGGGGCATCTCTTGGTCAAGCTGGAGGACCATGGCAAGGTAGGCTCCTGGGAGGATATGGGTGTGATTCCAGCTGAGACTCCTAACGGGGTGACTGGGGCATGAAGACTGAAGTGACCCCCTCTTAGCCAGGCAGGACTAGTGGAAGGAGGGGATCAACAACCCCCACACAAAACCTGTCAACCAAAAATCACCCTGCCTAGAAGAAGTGCAGGGATAAGGAGGGAACAAAGGCAGGAGCCTAACAAAATGCTCTTTTAACCACTGAACCAACTCTCCAGCTCCTGTTTCTGGTTTTAGAGGCAAAGTCTAGGCTATCAAGAGCTCAAGATAGCTGCTGACAACTTTGAGCTCCTGGTCCTCCTGCTTTCAATTTCCAAGTACCAGAATTACATGTGCATGCAGCCATAAACTGCAAAATACTTTATAGAAAAGGTATGTTGACTTGGGTAGAGTTGAAATTATTAGCTCAGGCACTATTCACAATTACTGTGAATTAGCTTGGTCTATAAAAGATGGTGGGGGAGGCACACTGATACTACAGCTCAGTGGTAGAGTGTGTGAAGCCTTCGGTTCAATTCTCAGAGCTGAAAAAAATGAAAAAGAATGTGACGTATTTTTTCCCCCTTTCATCCTTTAGTGACTTCAAACATTACTGTTAAATTAGCTGGCTACCATATTTAACTACTCCCTGAGATAATGTGAGTAAGTGTGTGTGTGTGTGTGTGTGTGTGTGTGTGTGTGTGTGTGTGTACATGTGTGATTTGTATACAGGTACAAAGTTGGAGGTCAAAAGTTGACATTGGGTATCTTTTTCTGTTGCTCTCCACCTTATATTTTGAGACAAGGTCTCTCACTGAACTTAGGGCTTACTTGTTGGCTAGCATGGTCACCCTGCAAATTCCGGGGATCCTCTTGCCTTCCAATGTGCTCTGCTTATGAGATTATACTCAGCGCTAGGCATTTACGTGGGTACTTGTGACTAAACTCAGGTCTTCATGCTTGCTTGTCAAAACATGGCTTGTTTTGCTGACAGAGCCATCTCCATGCTCAACCCTTACGTTTACAAATGTAATTGCTTTCGTGTTTCCTTTTGAGACAGGGACTCAAGACCAGAATGGCCTTGATTTCACCAGAGAGTCAAGGAAGACTAGAACTTCTCTTCCTCCTGCCTCTGCCTCCCGAGTGTTAGGAATACAGTCATGGATCACCATTCTCAGGCCACACCATACACTTCTTTTATTTATTTATTTATTTATTTATTTATTTATTTGTTTGTTTGTTTGTTTGTTTATTTGTTTGTTTATCAATATAGAACAGTTTGTGAACTTACATTTCATCCTCGCTCGGGAACCATGCTACTCTTTTCTGTATTGTTCCAATTTTAATGGATATCATGCCCAATGGAGCACAAGCCATGCTTTTCTTTAATGGTAGGAAAGAGTGATTACTGTAGGCTAAATTCATCTCTATCTCATTTGAAATAATATAGATTTAATCCCCCTGTGCTTCTTATGTTTTTTTTTTTTTATTTCATTTTCATTTTTTAAAAAGTCTTGTTGGTGTAGCTCCGGGGCATGTGACTCCTAACTCAGCTGGCTGTGGTTATTGTAGTTCATATCCTCTGGCCATTTGTAACATCTACCTTAGTGTCTCTAGGCATCTGTGCCATTGTCCTCCTGCTCTGTCAAGCACAGAGGTATGTCTTGTCTCAGCTGGCATCTGAGCAGTTTGCAATTGTGACTGTGTGGTGGTATGAGTGAGAATGGTTCCCCATAGTCTTTGGCATTTGAACACTTGATTTCCCAGTTGGGAGTGCTGTTTGGGAAGGCTTAGGCAAGACAGGTTTGCCAGAGGAAGTATGTCCCGGGAACAGGGGAGGGGGCACTGAGATTAACATGCCTTGCCAACCGAGACTCGTAGTTCCTTCTCCCTGCTTCGCGCTTGTGGTTAAAGATGTGAGCTCTCAGCTGCGAGCTCCAGCCACTGTGCCCGCCACCTGCTGCCCGGCCTGCTGCCCATGATGAACCCCTACCGCTCTGGAGCCACAACCAAAATAAACTCTTCCTCCTGTACGTTGCTTTGGGTCACGGCGTTTTATCACAGCTTGAGGAAAGTAACTAAAACAACGACTGTAGCTACCAAACCCTTAGTCAGCCTGAGCTCCACACAAGGCTGTTGCTCTGATGAGGTGAACTGTGGTAACTCATGTAACTCACAACGCCTTTGTGAGAGAGGCACCCATAAGGAGGCTGAGGGCCTGCTCACCTTGCTCACAGCCTGTGACTGTGAGGTAAGAGTGTACCTTGTCACACACTTGCGTACCACCCTTTGGTGTCAGGCACCCTCACACTGAGCCTTTTTCTGAGCCCTTCCTCCAGGGGAGTCTTTGACGCATCTCCATGGGCCACAGGACTAGCCGAGTGTTATGAACTTGGTCTCAGATGCTGCTCTGGGGCTCTGAAGCCACCACTGCCTTTTATTCCGCAAGCTAAGCTGACAACAGGGATGAGGGGCCTGCAGGGTCTCCCCAGGGAAAGAAAGGGCCATGTCACAATGATTCAAACATTCCCAAAACCTGCCCATTAGAGGCTGAATTCTTGTACCCATACGATGAAGCCCTAGCTCCAGTGTGACAGTATTTGGAGTGGGACCTTTTGGAATTAGATATACTGAGGTTTACTGCCATGGACTCCCATGAGTTTGTCCCCTTCTGTGAAGAGAAATGCAGGCTTCTGACTCATATGATACCTTTCTTTTCATGGCCTGTTCTGTCTTCAAATTTTCAAGCTTAATGTCCGGAAAGGCAGTTTGAGAGTATTCAGAAAAGTCGTGAATGAGCCGTCGTGTTAGAGAAAAAAAACAAACAAAAAAATCTTGCTATGGACTCAGGGGAAATGTCCAAACAACTCTTAATTTCCTATTTCATTGATTTTCTGAATCAGACATTGTAATATAAAGTTAAAAAGAAAAAAAATTAAAAATGCACATGGCACAGAAAGGACTTTGGTGAGAATCTCAGAACACAACTCTGTCTAATCCATCCATACTAGCTGTGGGCCATCCTACCAGTCATCTCTTCTAGCGAAGGTAGTCCCCTGCCCCAGCCAGCCAGTACACTAGAACCTGAGTTATTGGTATCCAAGTTCTGACGTTCAAGGTTGGCATTTGGAAGGCTCTCCTGTTTCCAAGGATGTGAACAGTATAAACTCCAGGCTGATGAAAGTAAAGCCTGAAGTACACAAAGCTATCTGAGCTGCTAATAGCTGCTGTGTTGAAAATAAGAGAAAAAGTTCAGAGGGGAAGCAACCAAAGCAGGGATGGAATCGGCGTTCTGCCCGGAATAGCCCGCTTCTTTCTGAGGAGTGCTTTCATGGTAGAAAAGGGTATTTGGTCACATGGCATAGAGAATGATGCTTGTGTTTATCTATGGGAGTCAGGAGGTCAAAAAAGGAAAAAAAAAAAAAAAAGAGTCTTAGTTGTCGTCTTCATTGACCATACATCCTAAGGTTGTTTTCAACAAAAGACTCAGACTCATGTTAACTTTGGTCAACTTAAAAAATCTCCAGGTTATAGTTTCTGTCTGTAGAAGACAGAAAAATTTTAAGTTTGAATACTCATCCCCCAAGGCACTTGGATCAGGAAGACTAACATGGACAGACATGAACAAATACAGCCATTCTGGGCTGGGGCTTATCTTGTATTTTTTTTTTTTTCTGCCTTGTCACCCAGAATGTGGTAGAGAAGGGAAAGGAAGGGATCGGTTAGTCACTTGTGCTATTTATAAGGTCTCCAGGAAAAGCTTGAGATAGTGAGAAAATGTCCTTTTCTTTGTATTTTTATGTAATTGTTTTCCTGGTCTGCCCAGTGAAAATTCAAAGTTGGCCACATCCAGAGCAGCTGCACACTCTTGGTTTTGTTCCTTTCGCATTCCTTTCCCCTTTCTACTTTCAAGGTCACTGTCACAAAGCGTAGTCGCAAACTGACACTGAGGAGGAGTCCTTGCCCAACTTGGCCATATAGCTGATGATCAGAGATCCAGAAAAGCCATCCTTAGCAACATTTTATGGTGAATAAAAATGAACCAACAGGGTCCTGGAAACCTGGCTCAATGGTTAAGAGCCCTGACTGTTCTGCTAGAGGACCAGAGTTTGATTGCCATGATGGCAGCTCACGAACATCTGTAAATTTCAGGTGTTCCCACACTCTCTTCTGGCTTTTGTCGGCACCAGGCACGTAAGAATGCCTGAAACAGATACATGTAGGCAAAATACACAATAAAATACATACAAATAAAATAAATAATTTAAATAATAATTAAAAAAGAACCTACAGAGCGTGTATGTGGTGGAAAAGGCTTGAGCCAAAAGAACCATTTTTTACTTGTGCAGAGTTATGAAAATAATTTAAATCAAATGAACTTTTCCAAAAAGTTGAATCAACAGACAAGCTGAAATTCCGGGTAATGAACTTCTGCTTTGTTTTGCAGTGGTAAGTCTGAGAGGAATCATCCCTTCACCATGCTGTGTCCTTCCCCCAGGAACAAAAGTCCAGAAGAGCAGCATTCATCTAAGTTATCCTTCATCAGCCTTCTGCTCTTAACGAGGTGTCCCTGACATGCTCTTTGAATACGGGTCTTGGGACTTTTGGAAGGGACTGTTTGACTTCAAGGATAAGTACTAAAAGACACTATGGCTGCCTGCTTGTCCTTTCCTCCAGAGATCCTTGCCAGAGGCACTGAGGTCCCATGTTGTAAAGAATGCAAGTCACCCACTGAAAGACAAAAGATTTTGGTCTCAGCTGACAGCCAGCATCTCTCTCTCTCTCTCTCTCTCTGTCTCTCAACACACATAGACCACAAACCAAGCTCAGGCAGCAGAGTGAGTAGGACACTGGACATTCAGGCAGCCTAGGTCTTCAAGCTACTCCAGCTAAACAGGACACGTGTTCTCTCCCAGCTCTGCCCAAATGGCAGATTGTAGGAGAAATAAATGAAGGATTGTTCTAGGCCAGTGAGTGTTGGAATGATTTATGAGTACACAATGATAAATAACCAGAACAGAGGGACAGTGCTGGGAAGGTTTTGAGATGCTTCTCAAAGTGCTTTCATAAAACAAAGGCAGGGATATAGCTACCTCACCTGTCTCTAAAGTCTGTGTTTGTCTCTTTCGGGGTTTGCTGTTCCTCTATCAGTTTCTCTATCTTTGACTCTGGGGTGTAGAGATCGGAGACTGAAAAACAACAAACACACCTTTGACTGGAGGATTTCTTACAAAAAGAAGTCACCTTTGTTGTGAATTCAAATCCTGAGGAGACTCTCAGGCAACAGGTCACTTTAATTTTTTTCTGAGATCAGTAGCAAAAGGAGGGGAGGAACAGACGCTGCTTTAACAGTGCCGTCTTTGATTACTGCTGGAAGAGTCATCCGGCCCCATTTCTTACAGTGAGCAGGAAGCAGTAACTTGACAGTAAAGGGACTGCTGTGGCCAATTCCCCCAACACTGACCTGCATTCCAGGAAAGCTGGTGAAGGCTCTAGCTGTGAGGAACCTGGACTCCAGAGCCCTGCTGTGAAACCCGGGTCTGGCGCTCCCGTCTTTACTATGTTGACCAACTCATCTTTTTTGCACCTCAATTTCCTCAGCTCAATACTGGCTCTATGAACACTTCCTGCCACTTAGGTTGGCTATGAGAGTCAGAGACATGTGAGGCACTGAGAGTAGAGTCCAACACAAACCAAGCCCCCCATCGAACGATGACTGTTAGTTTTATATTCCAGACACCAGATCTGCTATCCAGTGTGACCTAGCCTCTGTCAGCAGAATTTACAGCACAGAGGAGTCCATGGGAGTACGTCTACACCTAAGGGAAACTCCTTTTCTGTAAGCTCTGGTTCTTGCCTCTGATCACATTTGATAGCTAGAGACATAGTCAACTGGGGCCCAGTGGCAGCTATAACATCTCTAGTAATGAGAAATTTGCAAGGAATGGAAACTAAAACCTGCCTTTCCCAACTTCCCAAATACCATACCGTAGAGGAATTCTAATTCAGAACATGGCTGTTCTGGCAAGAGATCCTAGGTCTGTGTGATAAGAGATCACATCCAAAGATCTTGTAGGTCTGTGTGATCCAGCTGGAATACAAGCACCCTTTTAATCTAGGGGAGAGAGGCAGGCAGATCTGAGTTCAAGGCCAGCCTAATATTGAGCAAGTTTCATGTAAAGAAAAGCTTAGGTTGAGGCGTGGCGGTACACACCTTTAATTCCAAACAATGAAGGTTAGTTAGGTTAGTTTGTAGAAGGAAGCACCCATGTTTGAAAGTGATGTTTGATTGAGTGGCAGAAACAGTGATGAATCTGAGAATGACTTCACAGAATGGATACGCCTTACTCTCATGAGAAGAGAGAG